CGTCTGATGAATTTATATCGATTTGGATTATCACTTTCGGGTTTTGCACGTTTTTACGAAATTAAGAATCCTCGACGGAGTTCGACGAGGGTGTAAAGTTTATCGCTACTCCGGGAATATAGCGAACGAAGAGATTTCTCGAGATCGCATCCCGTTTCTTTCTCTATTCACCGCCACCGGTTCTCGTGGAAGTCGTTCGCGGACGGTGAGGATTACAGCGTGTTTCTGGAAATTAGGCCGTAAATCCTGTTTCCTGTTTCGCGTTCGGGGCCGAGATATTCGCCGGCACATTCAGTTCTCAGCTCTGGATGCACCCACCCTCCGGGGCGAAGAAATACGAGCCTATAATCTCGACGAGATTGCGATGCCGAAAGGTGTGCATATCTCCGTAAAATTCAGACACCGAAGACACTCAGAAACGTACTAACATGCATTATAATATAATAATATATAATTGCATAAAAATTCCATAGATACAATTCTGTTATTTCTTATCGTTTAACACAAATCGAACGTCTATCACTTTTTTTTTAAAACTCACTCGTATCTTATTTCCCACTGGAATATCGTAAACTTTTTGAATCTACCTGGGCAACTTATTCTACTGCAGCTTCTTCTCCCGTTTTCATGGCTTCGAAGAAAAGGTCTGGAAAATTCTGTTTTGCATCGAGGCAAGTTTTATCACGTTACCAGGTCAAGGAAAGCAAATATTCTCTTTACGCAGTATAATATTTATAGGTAGTAATAGAATAGAATAGAAAATCCTGTGGCGTTACCATCTACTTATTTCTCAAGTATTACGCAAATATATGAACAGCTAATATATTCGCAATATTGTAAAAAGAGATGTTCGTATAATAGATTTTTTAGATAACACGTGATTCGTACTGTGATAGGATGTTCGTATTGAATATTACTTTTCCGTTTAATACGAATTATATTCGCCCACTGAATTGAACAGCTTATTTTTGGTAAAAGAGGAATGGCACGCGCGTGGGAAGAGTCAGGTTCGTATAAAATCTGCTGGGATTGATAACAGAATGAAAATGCAGATACATTCATGACACTGTAGTAGAATGTTCTCATGCAACGTGAACTGCAAATGAAAAATGAACAGAACATAATAAATGTTATTTTCCCATTTAATACGTATTATATCTGTTCACTGAAATGGAGAGCTTATTTTTGAAAAAAAGAGGAACGGCACACGCGCGTGGGTCGGATCGGGTTTCGCAGAGAATCTGCTGGGATTGATAAGGGAATCAGAGTGCAGATGTATCCATGAAGGTCCGAGGTTAATTGCATCAGTCACCGGCACGAGACGATTGAATTCGTGATCTGTCATTGCCGAAGGCTGAATAGATTTCACGTTAAATCGATTTCGCCTGTGGTGCCGCAGTTGGTACTGCGAGTCATGGACAATCATATCGTAGTCGTGATTTTCTAATTGTTTTTCGTCGCCACCGGCATACTAATAAAGTCCCTTCGTCGAAAATGAATGATTTTTAATGAATCATTTATCACCGAGTTGCGACCCAATGTAGAATTTCCAATTCTATATAGAAAGATCAGTTCTTGTTTATTTTATCAGGTTTGATTTATTAGCAATAATTTATACGATGTACTGTGATTATTAAACCGCGGATGTTCAAGCATTCATCATAAAAAATATAACTGAATTTTGAACAGTCGATATATAAAACTGTTGTAGGCAAACTGGATGCTGTGACATTTCATGAATGTATCTAAAATTCATTTTTCAATTCCCTCTCTTAAATATTTTATTTCGCGATTATTGTATTAAAATTAAATTACACTTGGCATTCCTCTTTTTGCTTTAACAATCAAACATCAGGTTTCTCTGGATATTATGTTATGGCCAGAGAACTGTATCATCCAATTCGAATCGATAACATTTTTCTCTTCAATATTAGAGTCTCTGTAATACCTCAGAACGGTTTTCCTAGCTATCCAATCGTTGTCAACTGTTTAAACACTTCCCTTTCAATTGATGGCACTTGTTTTCTTTAAAATACAATTTATAATCTTGCTAACAAGCTTTGTACTAAAGATTAGATTTGAAAATGAAAAATCATATTCCATGACTGCTACTCAGTTTCACAGGTAATCATATTTTATTACCTGGTGCTCCTTCGTGATTGAAGTAAATGCATATCGTCGGAACTACTTTACAGCAGTGAATCACGTGGTGTAAAGTTTGATAAAGCAGAAGCTCTCGAGAGATGAAAAGTTTCATTCGGACTCGTTTTCGTTAGGATCGTTCCTTTTCCCAGCTCGTTCTCATTCTTAAGCAGAGGGAGATGCATTATACTTGCAAACCTCACTTACACGTTTACTTAGCCAGCTTCGTGTAATATTAAGAGAAAAGTAGACGACGCGGTTCCTCACAGCATCCTTCGACTGTGCATCATGAAATATAATACGAGTGCAAACTCTTGTTTAGTTTCAATAATAACGTCAAAGATTTCAGGAAAAGATTCTTTCTTTAATTCATAAACTAAAATTCTTTATCACACCTCTTCTTATTTTTTCGACCATTCTTTTAATTTGTGAATATCTAGAATTCTTTCATTTTATAATCGCAACAGATTCTGTGCGATCGATTTAATTACCCAACCGAGTCGTTAATGTTTGCTGACGCCCCGAACAATAATTGATCTATCCATACTCAGACATTTAACACTGATTCGAACCGGCACTTGGTTAATGGACGATCATCCCGACGTATGGGTATTCGAGGTCGGGCCGATTATCATTCGGTCGCCTCTCGGAGACGTGTGAGAAGTCACGTTGAATTTAACCGAAATCAGCATTAAACCTGATCGATAAATTCCTCGGACCGCACCGTATTTCATCGTCTCATTCGAATCGAAGCTGTAATTCGAATTAGTAAATCGATTGCTCTCGGCCATCCGATTACAGGCATATATTACATACCGA